GCCGCCTCTTGACTAGATGGCCACTTTGAGCAAATCAAGTTGTAAGTACTCGGTTTGAATCATAATATCTCTACCCTGAACTCAAATTTTAATCACATTCTTGCTCTAATTAACATTTTCCCTATAAATTAGTTTGATGTGGATTTTATTTTGGTTCTCTAGAAAAGCGTTGACATACTATTTATACATAATCTTCTCTAATAATCTTCTTTTAGCAAGATTAGGTGATTAAATCTAAAAGGGAAAAGCTTTTGCTACCTAAAACTTAACTGTATTCATAATATTACTACCTAACATAATTATGCTCATAATTTTTCTCTCTTGCATGAAATGGTATTCTTTATATTCACACAATAGTACTTTTATAAAATTGTATTCATAATCTCACTGTAGTGATTCTTCTATCATGTTGTTATCGATGATGTATTTTTTTTTCGGTCGTTGTTAGTAACATTGATATAGTAAAATCATGACTTAAGTTAGACTCATAAACTTTTTTTTTTATCTATTTCTTCTGCAAAATTTGCTAAATTTATGTGATCTTGACATTTCTATAAGAGGGAAATCTCCAGAAAAATCCTAATATTTTAGGAAAATTTTTAATAAAGTCCTAAATTTATTCTTTTGAACAGAAAAATCCCTACTATTTAACTTTTTGAATGGAAAAGCCCAAGAAACCGGCTAACCACATTTGAGCCATTTTGACCTGTTCAACATGATAGGACCAAATCGTTAATTTTTTCAAAATAATTAGACTATTCTGCAGATTTTTCAAAAGTTGTATATAATGTATAAACGTATTTTTTACGTATTTATGTAATTTTTAAGTTTTTATATGTATATGTTTACATATTTTTATGTATTTTAAATGTATAAACATATTTATTTTACGTACTTATATGTATTTTTAAGTATTCTACATATATTTTTTTTATGTATTTTATGTGTTATTTTTTTATGTATTACATATTTATATGTATTTTTACATATTTATGTATTTTTTAAGTTTCTTATATAGATGTTTATGTATTTTAAATGTGTAAACATATTTTTTTTACGTATTTATATGTATTTTTAAGTATTTTACATATCTTTTCTATGTATTTTTTATGTATTACGTATGTATATGTATTTTTACATATTTACATATATGTTTAAAGTTTATTATATAGATGTTTATGTATTTTTATGTATTTTATATGTATAACTGTATTATTTTTACATATTTATGAATTTTTTACTTCAAGTCGTCTTCACCATTTCATCCGATTCTCACAGCTTATTCAAGTATGTCTAGATGGTTTTCCTATATACCCGCATTGCTAATGGGATTAACTTAAAATATGTGGGTTGTAGGAAAACCATATTGACATACTCGAATAAGCTGTGAGAATTGGATGAAATGGTGAAAACGACTTGAAGTAAAAAAATACATAAAAACATAAAAATAATAGTGTTATACATTTAAAATGCATAAAAAATACGTAAACATGTATATAAAAAAATACATATTAATACGTAATACATAAAAAAACACATAAAAATACGTAAACATATAAATATAAAAACTTATATATATATATATATATATATATATATATATATATATATATATATATATATATATATATATATTATATATATATATATATATATATATATAGGAGTAGGATCAAATGAGAACACCGAAAAGGTTGAGAACGCGAGAACAGATCTGAGCTCTTCAAAAATTACGATCTAAGACTAATATAATTTATAAAAGTCATGAGATGAAATTGTAAATTTCTAAAAGTCATGGGATGAGATTGTAAATTTTTAATAGACTAAAGGGTAATATGGTCATTAAACGTTAGCCTATTTTTGTCAAGTTGCTGGAATCTCTCTTTCTCTCTCCCCCTATCTCTCACTCACGTATCCTTCTTCCTCTCACTCTCTAAATACAAGTTTCAAACCTTTAAACCTTAATTGAGCCGTCACCACCATACATCCCTTCCCCGGCCCTTCCGTTTACCTGCTTTGATCGTCGTTACTTAAAGTCGAAGTTCCTTCTTCTCGGATAGTCATTATAGAAGGAATTTATGCACTGAGTACGACCATTGCTAGATCTTCGTGTCTCTGTAACTGGTGGAGTACACTTTGATCTTGTCAAGAGGGTTTAAAGGGACATTCAACTTGTTGGTCAAGAACCTGAAGAAATCACTCATCAAATCTCTGAAACCGTATATTTCAGTTTGATTATCTTTATAATCGACTAATCATATATCTTTTTCGAGTTTTGTTCTCTATATGATTCAAGCTATCCTTGCACTCAGGTATATCCTATGTACAAAGCTTTCATCGAGCCTTATCTACAAACTGCACATATAAAAATTATAAACAACTTGAATCCTTTCTCCGGATTTCAGAATCCCAGTTATATTTTAAAGGTTAGCTCCTCATTTACTGTTCAAAAGGGAATTTACAAGGCTCATTTAAGTGACTGGTTTTTGTTTAACTTTGTAGTCTAAAAAGTCAGTGACACCAGAGCAAATGAAAGCAGTTCTTTCTCCAGATCATCAAGAAAGAAAAGAATAAACGTATGACATTTATCTTCTTCCACCTAGTGAAGACCCTGAAGCTTGTCAATCATATCTCAGGATGAGAAACAGGGATGGAAAGTACAATCTTATGTTTGAGGTATGTATCTTTTCCAAATCTTGATTTTTTTTTATATTAAAAGATCAATTGTAAGGATAAAGTAATTTGTTATTTGTAATTTTTTTGGAATGGGTGTCTGATAGTCCATTCATTATATCACCTAGAATCACCTTTGAAGTGAGTGTGCGTCTTCTTGGTGGATTAATGGCATTAGGATACACCATTGCTGCCATTCTCAAAAGAAGTAGCCATGTTTTCTTTGATGAAAGGTCTGCGTGAAAACCGATTGGTTAGAGCAACTTAATCGCACCTATGTTCAGGTACTTTATTGGAACACCATCTTGTTAATTTGGCAAAAAGATTTTATTTTTATTTTTATTTTTTCATGTTCCTTTGTTTTGATTGGCTAAGGTGCAAGGAAGAGACCGTTGTTATGTCAAATATAAATGAAGCTAATAAAAATATATAAATCAAGTTATATGAATAAGACTTTAATCATATATAAATAAGACTCTAATCATATATGAATTGAATAATATGATTTTTTTTCATTTATAATTATTATGTATTTTCTTCTTTGTCTTGTATTTTATTCCTTTATGTTTAAAATTGTAATAGATTTATGTTTCTACATTTGTACAGTGAAATCCAAGATCTTTTGGAATGTAATGTTGGAATGGTCGTGTTCAAGAAAACACTATAAAGTGGAAATATTGAAGACTTATTCATTTATGATTATCGAATTCAACCGAACACTGCAAAGTGACTTATTCATTTATGAATTATAGAATAATAGTTAATTATTGTATTCAAATTTTTGTTTGAGTTGTATTAGTTTTGATTACAGGGAAAATAGTTTATTAGTATATTGTAATTTTGTTTTGTATTATTCATTTATGATGAGATATATAATCTACTTATTTATGCAATGTGTTTTATTCATCTATAATTATGATTTTATTGAAAGCTTTTTATATAAAAGTTGTGTTTTATTCATTTAAGATTATAATATGATTGTATAGAAATTTTTTATATCCAAATTATGTTTTATACATTAAAGCTTACAACAATATGCATATATGATTACAAATGTGTTTTTAATATGTCGTTAAAAATATTCATGTGTCGTTAAAAATATTTGGATAATATGATAAATTCTTCAATATTTTTAATGTCGTTGGTAAATAAAATATAAAATAAAAACATTTTTTTTAAATCATGTTAAATGATATTTTATTAATTTTTGTTAACTAAAAAATAAGTTTACTACATTCCTAATATCAGGGAAAATAAATGCATCACATAATTATAGAAACTAATTAATTATCATAATTTATCCATATTTAATTACATTTGTCAAATTCTTTTTATGCCCTTATGAAATGATTGGTTCATAATTGTTCTTGCGTTCTCAACCTTTTATGTGTTCTCATTTGATATTTTCTATATATATATATATATATATATATATATATATATATATATATACTCGTACGTAAAAATACGTTTATACAATATATACAACCTTTGACGAAATATGTAGAAAAGACTCATTATTTTGAAAAAAAAATAATGATTTGGTCTCATGACCTGTTAAACAGGTCAAAATTGCTAAATTGAATAAATTAGCTGATTTTTTATTTAAAAAGTTAAATAGTCAGGACTTTTCTATCTAAAAAAATAAATTTAGGAATTTATTAAAATTTTTCACAGAAAAGAATCATTATCGGTAGAAGTCGGATACAAGGAGAGGTTGAAGCTATTTAAGGGATAATCGTTGAGTATAAAGATCTTTGTGCTGCCTTTATTGGTTGCACTAGGGTTCTTCATGTTGCTTCCCCTTTTTGGGCTGACATGTATCTAATCCCCAGGCAACCACTTCTTTTTACATGACATACGTTTGACTACATAATTATTTTCAAATTTGAAGTTAAATATGCAAGGCCTTGTAGGCTTGTACTACAATTTCTCCAGAAACCATGTCTATTCTTGATTATCATAAAGTAATTGATGAATTTCTTCGGCGAATGAAGGAAGAATCGTTTTAGGTGAATATTGCAAGTTTTTGTTTGTATTAATGTGGATTTTGTTTAGTGAAAAAAGTTATTGCAATTTTGTAAAATGTTGTATATATGTGCTTGGTCAATCGTAGGGTACAACATAAAAACATTATTTTATCATCTCGCCCTGAACATGGAAAACCAATGGATCGGCCTTGATCGAGTATCATCTATAAGACAACAAATTAAGTAATCTACATATGTTTTAAGTTGAAAGCACATGTCTACAACGTGACTAAAGTTATATACATATGTGACATAATAGCAAACCTTTTATAGCTCGTTATTTTTAAACAAAAGAAATCACACAGAAGGAAAGTATCTGTTTAGCTTGAATGGCAATGAGTAGAACTCTTCACTTCTAGTGTCGGTCTGGTAGGAATAGAATTTGTCCCACCAATGTTTGCCTCGGTCTCTCCTAATAGAACTGTCTTTATAGTGAAGCGTATTATCCAGAAAATACGCCAAGATCGCAGCTACAAACGCCTCAGACGAGAAAGGAACATTCACAATGTTGTTAAACTACATGATAAGAAAAAAATTGCATGAGTCGAAATCCGTAATTTTTTTGACCATAAAAGTCAAACTAAATAGAGACGGATAGGACTGTATCTATCTGATCTGGGACTCCAACAAGCCTTATGAAACTGAGGCTCGATGAGATTAGATTCACATGTATCGAGCCCCGAGCATGTTAGACTTGATAGTTGATACCATGTTAGATGTGTAGAGCTAATTTTTTAGCCCAAACAAACTCATCAGACTCCAACATATATAGAGACAAATAAAACATTGTGTAGCTGATGTCGGACACATTTGCCAATTATGGTATTCTATTCATACCCATCTTGCAGATGTGTGGACGGAACCGTAACCGTTGATAGCTTCATACTCATTGAAGTACTGGGGCACGGACAACCCCAAAAAGATTGAAAACCCGAGGATGAACTTTGTTCTGAAGGTGTTGAGATTGCAAAACTGAAGGAAACTAAGGCCCGCAGCACCTGTAATATGACATAGTTACCCTCAAACATGCCATATAAAGTCAGAAAAAGGGTAAATCGGTAAATTCACGAAAAACTTACCCACGTAAGCGAAGAAAATGCAATATAGAGCAGCAACGATAGGTGTTGGTATCGAAGCAAAGACTGCTCCAAATTTACCTACAAGATCACATCGGACCTTTATTGGTTTTAAGAATTTGATACCTTATAGAAAATTTAATTGGTTTTTGATAAAAGAACTTGCCAAGAACTGAAAAGAAGATCATGAAGCCGGCTGAAATCTGCACGACTCTGCGACTGCCAACACGGGTCAAAGCCAAAAGACCAGCATTCTCACTACGAATTAGCAAAGAGACATCTTTTATCATCAAAGATCTATTGAGAAGTTTGTATATAAACCTAATTAAGCAGAAAAGTTGTAGTCTTTCAACTCACAAAGATACCGAAGATCCACTTATGGTTCCAAACAAGCCCGACAACAATATGCCAATTCCCTACAAAGATGAACATGTAACTAATCCATCGCTAGTTTTCTTAAAGAAAGCTGTTGCTATTTTCTTTTGAAATTTGTCATTAATGATCGGTTTTTAGCGACTATTTGCTTCTGTATTTAAATCAGAGAAACAGGTGATAATTACCTGCCAACCAACCCCACGGCTTAGAACAGAGGGTGGCAAAGGAGTTGCACTTGCATATCTCGAAACCACCATGAAGCCGCCGGTTGACTGATCATATCATAAAAAGAAATAAAGTAAACCCAAACTGCATGTTATAAAGTATAAAAAGTGTCTTGATTACATAAAAACCTGGAGTCTTCAAAAATTAATGAGATTTTGATCAATATGATTATATACAGTAAAATGAAAAATAAGACCTCTACAAGCGCAACAAAAGCAGCCATCATCATGGCAAAAGCTTCACCGGCATTGAAGGAGGGTGCACCCCATTGGAATGGATATGGAGCTCTTATCCTGAAAATGTGGGATCGAATTAATCAACACGGTATCATCGTCTTTATATATTTTTTATTTATGTCGAGTCTAAATAGATAAGTAGGAGAATCACAAAGGGGTCGGATAGGGACGTAACTGCAAACATGCACAACTTTTTATTCGTTGTCTACACCTTGAATTTTGAGTTTCCCGAATTCCAATCCAGTTACAGTTTTTAAATATTCCAATTTAGTTGTAATATCACATTATTTTCTTGATTTCCCAAAATCATAAGATTAGAGTGTTTCTTAATTTCATTAAGTTGATGTTAATTTCAATTTTTCGAAATCTAGAAATACCTACCAAAATTATTTCGGTCGATCTATATAAATGGTTGAATGTAATGTTTGCTAACCATGGGGCGGCGTGAATTAGTCCCGCAAGATCCGTACGACAACTTGCTTGCGTCCTTAATGTTGTGTGATTGTAGGCGCCACTAACCGTAAGTATGTGAGCATAAATCCAAACAATTGCAACTGAGATCAAAACACCAAAACGACCGAATATATTCCTTCCCGCATGTATCAAACGTGATACATACTGCACATAACAATTCATAAAGTTAAAAGAATTAATTTGTAGCCTAAAGAATATGTTTCTTTTATTTAAAAATATCATTATTACCTGCGACAGGATAACTAGCAAGATGAGCTGAGGCAGCCCTATTTCAACACACGTGGCAACCTAAAAACAAAAAACCATATTCTAATATATCTGTACAAGTACACGTGGTGATATATATCATATATATGAGTATATATATACTCACCCCCGGGAATCCAAATTCGTAAAGCCCAAAACCTGCAAGAGCGACCAAAGGAACAGCCGACAGTGGGCTCAATAACCTTGCTACATTACGCCAAAGACCACTGAACCCGAGGATAATCTGAATCGTTGAAGCAATAATCAAAGCACCTTGGATCGCACGCATAGTTTTCTTGAATCTCTAACCACAAAAAGTAATACATATTTAGTCAAAGATTCTTATATGTACATGTTCGTTTTTGAAATTCATGATTGAACGTTAAAGATGAACAAAAAAACATTGGTAAATGAATCACGAACCGCTATAGGATCAGGATCATTCCACCGACCAGATAGGATAATCGAGATGGTGGGTGCAACATAAGTATATGAACTCCCGATGACGACAGGTAAACGAGTCCCGAACATAGTCTGAAGCAGTGTGTTTATTCCGGCAACAAAAAGCAGAGTTTGAATCACTTGTGCTTTCTCCTCCTATAGGATGACACTTATATTGTTTAGATTAGAGGGTATGGAATAATCGCAACATAAACGTATGAAAAGGTATATATTTTTTGTTTACATGGATTTAAACTAAAATTTGATACTAAGTTAAGTCTTACATTGCCTCCTCCCATTTGTGGAACAAGAGCCGTTGGAATAATAACCGTTGTGCCGAGCATTACTATATAATGCTGAAAACCAAGCAGTATAGCCTCATCTGCAGCAAATATGCAATTGTAAACAAAAATCTTCATAATTCTGTTCAGGTTGTAAATGTTTAATGGCCTATATTTGGTCATTGTAGGTGTTTTTGATAATAGTTGATGTGAGGGTGTTCTTCTTAAAGAATCTTTGAAACAAATTTTCAAGGATAACTTAATTATAAAGAAAGGAACAAGAAATTTACGCCATGGGGGTGGACTCGTAATGCAGAAGGAGACGTTTGGCAGCTGATCTCTTGCTGGGTGTGGCGCCAGCACAAGTTCATCAGCTTTTGCTCCACCACCACCGCCGTCGTTACCTCCGGCCATATCTTTAATTTCTTGGTATATAATTATAGGAATATTACTCCTAAACCTGCAAGATAAATGGTTTAGTAGCGCAAGAGGGTGATAAAATAGTGAGAAATTGAAGTGGGATTGTGGGAATGCTTATATAAAGCTGAAGGTTATGGTTTTGATAGAAAAATGATGAATTAGGCACACACTAGAAGTTTTGTGTAGTCGGTTTGTACGTGTTGTGTGTGTATGTGGAATAGTGATAAGGACAAATGCTGCAACCATGAGACGTTAAATAGTGTCGTGTGCGTCAGGCTGATTGAGTAGCCATGAAAATATTACTCGAGGAACTGTGAGATTTTTTAAAGGAAAAAACATAAATTTATAGTTTTCCATATAATATCTAAAATAGTTTAGTATTTATTTGAAGGATTCATGAAAAAATTAGCATGGGAGTGTTGGGTTTGCCAATGAACATTAAAATAGCTAAACTAAACTTTAAAGTCAATAATTTGTCTCCATTTAATCATTTATCGAAGGAGTTATTGACGAAAATGGAGGTTAAGAAAACTGAAAACTATTTACCAAACTAATATGTCTTTTAAAATATTTACCAACTAGTATGATTTTAAATTGAATTTTTATAATATATTTTTTTAAAAAAATATTCCTCCTCACATGTCGTTGGAAGATGGAGAGAATGTTAAGTTAACATAAGTTAACTTTTTGTTGTATTTTATACGGCCCTACAAAAGCAATTGTAATTATTTATCTTAAAAATCATACGAATTAACTTAGATTCATTTATTGTCAATATTTGATATTGTTCTTTAAATTTTATATACAAATTAGATTTTTGTAGCTATAACCGAATGGTATTTGAATCAATAAATTAAGATCTTCGTCCAATGCTTAAAAATCATACGAATTAACTTATACGTACGGCCCTACAAAAGCAATTGTAATTAGTCACCGCCATTGGGTATCATGGGATAAAGTAACTGCACCGAAAGAAAGTGGTGGATTAGGTGTTGGCTCAATACGTGCACTAAACGTGGGTCTCATTGTAAAATGGTGGTGGCGCTTGCAAACTGAATCGACTGCACTATGGAGTCAAGTAATAACAGGTATCCACTCTCTTTCTAACAAGCCTTATGATTATATTTCAAAGAAAACTATTACTGGGGTTTGTAAAAACATTGCAGGGACTATAAAAGATATTCATGGAGCTAGACTTACTTTCAACGACATATTCAAGTTGGATGTCAAATCAGGAGAAAGCACAATGTTCTGGCAAGACAATTGGCTGAATAATGAGAAATTAAAATCAAAATATCCTTCACTTTATGATTTAGAATTGTGTAAAACATGCTCTGTTGCCTCTCGAATCTTAAATACTGGTAATTCCTGGGAATGGAAATCTTGCCCTTTAAACGCAGGATTATCCATAGAATTTAACAGGTTAAATCGGGAGATTGCTTCTTGCCAAATACAACCCGGACAAGACAAATGGATATGCTTGTTAACGCCAGATGGAAGATATACTGTGGAAGCTCTTAGGCGGAAAATAGACATAAATTCACATCAATCCATCATTCTCCCGCAGATCAGTTGGTGTAAGATTATCCCCATTAAGGTACTTTGTTTCGCTTGGAGAGCTGCACAAGGTCGTATCCCATCTGCTACAGCACTACAACATCGTGACATGAATATCGATTCAACACATTGTAGCTCATGTATCGGAGGAGATGAATGCGCTGATCACATTCTCATCGGTTGTCCATACGCAAGTTATATGAGAGATAAAATTTTAGAATGGTGCGGAATAAAAAAAACAAATTTCAATAATGTTGGTGACCTACTTCAATTTGCAGCCTCATGGGGTCGATGCCCCAAGAAACGTATTAAACTACTATGTATATGCTACGGATTGATATGGAGTCTTTGGAAAACCAGGAATGACAGATTATTTCGTGGAGTTGCTACCACAACATCCAGGGGGATTGATAACATCAAATCGTTAACATATTTATGGCTCAAGTGTAGGGGTAATGGTATTACTGGTGATTGGATAGATTGGAATTCCTCCCCTCTTTCCCATATGTAATAACTTTAAAAACTATTTCTTTTGTTTTCTTGTTTTGCCCTTGCCTAGTTTCTTGCTAGGTTTCGGGTTCTATTAATATATTTTGCCGTTTCTAAAAAAAACTACGATTAAATTTTAAATGAGTTTTACCTTATGAGTTATGATGACAATAATTAATTATAACAAGTAAAACTAAATCATTTAATTTTATCGTTTTGGTAATAAAACATTCTATCACTATGATGACTCGGTATGCTATCGATGCTTCTGGAGCAAAGAATTGCATTACAAAAGTATAGATTCGTTGGAGTTTTTAACCAAAATATGGTTATTAAAAAGGTATTAACCAATCTACTGTAGTTTCAAAAATACTTGGGCATCCGAGATCTCCTCACTTCCTCATGAATCGTATTGGCCACAATAACCATTTACTGAATTACTTCCAAATTTAGAACAATTACATAAAAAATGTTGTACTAGTTCAAGAAGACTATGAAATAACGAGCACATTAAAGAAGGGAGAAATATCAACCTTCGTGGAATTTATATGCAAACGGATTATAATCGAAAACAATTTACGTTTAAATCAAGGTAAATAAAAAGACAATATTTTTTATGGCTCATTGTTGTGGCTATTCTCTTATTATTATTATTATTATTATTATTTATTTTTTTGCAGGCAAGTATTTGTTACTAGTTCAAGTTTAAACTAGTTGTGATGTTTTTTCTGTAACAAACAATGTTAGAGGTTTTTTTTTTATCTTAAAAAACATTGTATGTGTAATGTCTTAAAAAACATTGTATATGTAATGTCAGAGTTTGTGCATCTTAAAGAATATAGTATGTGTAATGGTAGTTTTAGTTAGGATTGCTAAAATTTGATGTTCAAAATGGTTTGTATAATTTGTATAAATAACGTCAAAACATTTATGTTAAACGTATATTTAACAAAACTAAAATAAAAAATAAAAAATAAAAAATTGATATTTTAGAAAAATAAAAAAGGCAGTAAAAAAGTAATATAATAAAAAAGGCAGTAAAAAAAAGTGATATTTAAAATAAAAAGCTATAAGAAAAACTGAAAAATAAAGAAAAAAAACACTAATTTGGTAAATATTTTTTGAAACTACATTGGATTTGTAGTAATAATAATAATAATAATAATAATAATAATAATAATAACCCTATTTTGGTCAAAAAGTTTTTATCCAAGCTAATTTTTACCATCCTCGTCCATATGATTTTTTTTTTAAATTAACTTTATTATTATTATTATTATTATTATTATTATTATTATTTTAAAACCATCATCCATGAACATCTCTCGACATTCAAAAGACATTGAAACTACGTGTCATAATCTAAGAACCCTATCTGATGTTCATCATCTTCACCACCAACCAGTGACCACCGTTATCTTCAAGGGAAATATCTCAACCCCTTTCATGATATCGTCTAAGTATTGCCCCACACACTCCCCTTCATCCCTAAAACCCACAATTTGCATCCCCTCCCTTGCAACTCAACGGATCCTTTTCAGCGTCCCTTCTGTTATTGGTGATACAGATCTTGAACATTGGCTTGATTACTATTTAGGAGCCACTAGAAGGTATAACCCCTCCCCTACAACTCAACATACTTCTTCATCCATATTGTTTGAGAGTATAGATATATTAGTTTTTTATTGTGTTTCCATATGAGTTTAGTCACTAGAACATATATTCTTCACTAGTAGACTTATTTTAACCTTTATTTCAAATATGATGGTGCGTTTTAAAAACCAATTGTTATTTTACTCATATATAGAATTGATCTATTAGTTAACCTTCTGTTTAACTTCTAAAATCATTTTGAAACATAGGAATCCACCATATGTTGAAGCTTGTATACATTGATTGTATGATGTTTTCAAGCTGACTCAACTTCAATGGAGTTTTGAGTTATGATGATGGCATAATCTTGCTTTGTAAAAGTTTAAATTTCATTCATTGTCATCATGTCAACTCACATGATCTAATTAGATTCAAGTTGAAAGGGATCTAATGTTATTGCAAACTACAACTTATTTTGAAGTCTAAGGTGCCATTTAGTTTGCGAAATGTTTCTAAAGGATTTAGAATCTGTCAAGGAATGAGAATATGTTAGGAATTAGAATCCAATTCCATATCATGTTTGGTTGACAAGAAATTAAATTAGAATCCAATTTCATATTATATTTGGTTGGTAGAAAATAGAATTGGAATAATGTAAAATGACATAATTACTCTTCTTGTTTTCTTGCTTAATTATACTTTGTTATATAGTTTATATGAAAAGATATATTATATAAATTATAAAAATAATAAATGGTCGTGGTTGCAGTAGTGGTGGATGATGGGTTGTAGTGCGGTAATGGATAGTGGTGGTTAGTGGCGATGGGTGGTGGTGGTGGCGGCGACGGTGGTGGTGACAGCGAAAGAGATGGTGGTGGGCGGTAGTGGGAGGTATGGTGGTGGTGGTGGAGAAGGAAGTAGTGGAGGTGACGGTGGTGGCGAAGGTGACGGCGATGACGATGGTTGACCATAACAAAAAAATAAGGGTATTATGGTTAAACTTTCCCTCATGAAAAGGAATTTAATTCAATCCTATTTTTTTATGGCATGGAAATTCCCTAATTTGATGGAAAGTTCACCTCATTTAGGAATCTAATTCCTTGGCAAATCTTGAACCAAACATGAGAATTTGATAGAATGTACTTTTTGTCAACCCTTACAAAAAATTTCACGACCTTGCAAAATATTGTTCACATACCGTGCAAATAGTGATAACAATGTTAATACTCTTTTTATTTGTTAAGATGAGTCATATTGTATTTTAATAATCCTACTCCAGGAATTAAATGGGTAATTAATGATTAATTACTTAATCTATTATAATAAATGAAAATCAATTTTGTCACATGTCAATC